TCAGTGGTCGCTTAGGTTCTTCGGGGGGTCGTCACGGTACTCTTCGCTCTCGGGATGGTCAGAGGCTCTTGGGGGCTTTGGAGCGTTTCTCGCCACCGTTTGCTTCTGGGATCCTTGGTCGTCCCCTGGAAGGGGGCGGGAGGAAGGTTGGAGGAGGCTGCGGGAGGAGTCAGATAAAAAAAAGTGCGGTCCTGGTACTCGTCCAAGAACTTGCCGCACGCCACGCTCACGGGCCTCGCCCTCCCCGCGGCCTTGACCCAGACCGCGTCTGAGTCGATCTTGGCGATGGTCATCACCGTGCGGTCGCCACTGCGCAAGACCACCGTGGAGCCTACGATGAAGCCCGCTCTCGCGATCGCCGCCGCGGTCACCGACTGGCCAGCGTACTCGACCATGACCTCGCCGCTCTCGGGCGTCGCCTTCTCGTCGGGGTCCGACGCATCAGTCCACGGCTGCAGCAGGTTCCGAGACAGCGGGTCCTTCTTGGCGACGTCCTCCAAGAACTGGTTCGCGACCGCCCTCAGCGAGCTGAACTGCGGGCGGCCCTTCGCCTTCTTGCCATGAATGAACATGACGAAACGAATCTCCGCGTCCGCGAGCACTCGAACCTTGTCCGTGTGGCTCATGCCCGTCACCTGCGGCAGCCATGCCTTGGCGGCGCGGATGTACGCCACGGCCTGGTCGACCAAGATCTTCTTGGAGCCCGTCACCTGCTGAGCATCGCTGCTGGTGATGAGCTTGGACACCCCATCGCGAACGAAAGCCTCTGGAGCCTGAATGGCCGCCTTGACCATCGCAACGATGTATTCTGCACCCTGGCCGTACTTGATGCCTGCGATGATCTTGAACGTCCTCGAATCGACGTCGCGGAGGAACCTGCACGTCTTTGACCACCCATCGAGATCGTGCAGCCAGATCGGCACGGTGCCGCCCGAGTAGTGCTTGACGAACTCCCCCAAGTCCTCGCACTGGCCGCTGAGATAAGGCGCGGTCCGCTCGAGCGACGCCGCCAGCCTCGACCAATCCACAGAGCCGACCAGCTTCTGCTGCGCAGCCGCCCTCTTGTGGATGGAGAGCATAGTAGCTATCTTCGAAGGCGTCTGCTCAGTGTCGTGACCGCTGTTGCCTGCCACCTGCAAGAAGTCCGCCAACTCTGGACAGTAACTCTCAACCTGGTGCTTGATGCACAAGAAATCGATGCCGTGGTCCAGAGGTTCCGCGAAGGATGGCGCCAGCTGCAGCACCTTGTCCCTCGAGACACGGTTCCCAGCCGAAATCTCGACCTCGTCCGTCAGACTGCCGTACCTGGCGATATTACGCCGAGCCCGACCGCGACGCATGGCGCCACCACCTATCACACCTCCCGTCCTTCCGACGGATCGCCGTCGGCGCCGCGATGGGCGGGAAGTCGGGGGAGGTGGCGCGATGCGCGAGTCAGCTCTTGGAGGGTGGAGCGCGCTCCTGCGCTCAGTTCCCCTCCTCCCCCTCCTCCTCCTCCTCCTCCTCCTCCTCCTCCTCCTCCTCCCCCCCTTCCTCCCCCATCCTCCTTCTCCTCCTAGCTCCTCCTCGCCCTCCTCCTCCTCCTCCCGCTCCTCATTCCTCCTGCCCGTGGGCACTTCACGCAGCGGACACCAGCTGTACAATGGGACCCCGCCACTGCGAGGAAGCGCAGCTGGCCCTCGTTGGAGAAGGGCGCGAGGTAGCCATCTGACGCCACTGCGAGATCCTGATTGAACTTCCACTGGGCTGCACCGCGAGCGCCTGGCGGCATCTCGAAGCATCGAGCTGCTGCCGCCTCCGCCTTCGACCACCCCTGGCGCACGACGCGGAGAAGCACCTTGTGCACGTTGCATACTTCTACGCCGACGCCGCCGCGATTGTCGCTGTGCACGCCGACGTGGGCCACGTCGCAGTGCTGGCGGTATGCCAGGCCATGCTCGAGGAGGAGCGAGCAGATCTTGTCGGCTGCACTCTTGATCTCACTGATGTCACCATTGAGATGCTCACTGGCGAGCTTGTTGATCGCGGGCGCGACCAACTTCAGGGCCTCCTCTAAGTTGGAACCCTGCATCCCTGCACTGCTGCAGGGAGGGGGGCCTCAAGAAAGCCTCGAGCCAAAATGGCTGCAATGGCGGAGGGGTGGAAGGGGGAGGGGCATGAGGAGCCTTGGCGCTCGTGGCGTTTCGAATCGCTTGCGATCTTCGGGGGCCCGTGTAACCATCCAGGACGGGCGCAGCCCTCTGGGCGTGAGTGGGGGGTTCTCTGGTCATATAGTCTCCCCCTTCGGGGAAGGGCTTGTTCCTTACTGGGCCCCGCGGGGCCGACTCTTGGGGTGTTGTTTATTGTTGACACCCCCCTATATACTCCTACTACTACTAGTACAGCTACGGATGAGGATGAGGATGAAGATGAGGATGAGGATGAGGATGAGGATGATTATGATGATGATGGTGCTGATGATGATGATGATGAGGAGGAGGAGGAGGAAGAGAGGAGGAGGAGGAGGAAGAAGAGGAGGAAGAGGAGGATGCAAAGGAGGAATGAGGAGGAAGAGGAGGAGGAGGAGGAAAATGAGGATGAGGATGAGGATGCTTATGATGATGATGATGCTGATGATGCTGATGATGAGGAGGAGGAGGAGGAGGAGGAGGCAGAGTAGGGGGAGGAGCAGGAAGAGGAGGAGGAGGATGCAAAGGAGGAATGAGGAGGAGGAGGAAGAGGAGGAGGAGGAGGAAGATGAGGATGAGGATGAGGATGAGGATGATGATGATGATGATGATGATGATGACGCTGATGAGGAGGAGGAGGAGGAGGAGGAGGTGGAAGAGGAGGAGGGCGAGGGGGAGAAGAAGGGAGGCTAGGGTCTGGTCCGAAACGGTCCCCTGGGGCCGCCCGAGGAGGAGGAGGAGGAGGGCCGCTAGGGTCTGGCCCGAGGAGGAGGATGAGGAGGAGGGCCGCCGCCGTCGTAGTACACCCTGTTTTGGTCCTATGGCCAGACTGTGTGCAATGGCCAGACTGCATGCAACGTGGGTGCTGTACAAGCACTATTCAGCGAAGGCCCAGTGCAGGCCATCAATACATCAGCCTGTGATGGCTGGCAACATTCAGGAAGTCGGCCCAATTCTGTGCATCAGGGCCAACACTGAACTTTTGCACAAGCATGGCGTGGTACATTGACACTGCGAGCTTGCGCGTGTACGGCGCTGCACCACCCCTGAAAAATGGGCCGTTCCGTCCAACCCTAGATGCGGCACCATGCACGTCTATAAACGTCACGATATCTGAGATCTCGGCGAGGATCGGCGACAACGCACGAATCACGCCCCAATACCGATCCTGGTCCATGTACCCGACTCCGAGTGTCATCTCCAGCAAGTCGCCGTGGAGCTCGAGCCAGTGGTTGGTGTCATGTGTGCGAGGCCACCTTGTGCGCACCATCTTTTGAAGCGCCTTCCACTTGCTCGCCGCCAGTCTGACATTCGGGGAAGGGCCTCGGCGGCCGAGAACGTGGTGCGCCATCTGCCCCAGCAACAGCCAGAACAGCGTGTACACGAAGTTGCCCGGGTCAAACCAGCGCTTCCTGTCCCAGACGGCCCCCCTGTACGAGAGCATTTTGATATGTGGCCAGCAGATATGCGTCGTCGCAAGCCCGATGATGCCAATCGTGTCCCTGCAGCCAGCCTCGCTGAATACATTGTAGAACTGGTCGTAGAGCCGGTTCAAATGAGGCTTGAACTCTGCATTTAAGTCGTACATGTGCAAGGTGAGGCACCTCCTTGGATCGTATATGATGGCATCGGCGGTTTGCATGAGCGGGTACTTGTTGGCATGGCCCACAGCCTTCCACATCTGGAAGAACACGCGCAAGAAGGAATCGTTCACCAACCGTGGACGGGCAACCTGAAGCATCGCTGTCTCCGAGAGATAGCGTGGGTCAGAATCAACATGCTTGAACCCAAAATGGTTACGGACCTGTTGAGTGCACCTGCGTGGCCCTAAGTGGTACAGGGTTCCGATGACCCGCTCGGATTACCAACGTGATCTGCGGGCCCCATATGGCTCCCGCCTGAGACTTCCTCACAATTCACTCAGAGACGAGGCTCCCGCCTGAGACTTCCTCCAAATTCAGGCTTATAAGTCTGAGTGTTGAGTGAGTATGTGTGATCCTGTGGTCCTTCCTTCCTGTTCCTGTTCCTCAGGCGCGGTGAAGTAACACAAAGAACCCCATCATAGGATATGGGGAACAAGTGGAAAACCAATGGTTTTTGCATTGTTGCCCGCTCGCTTCCGATGGCCTCCCAGAGCCTCCAGATTGCCCCGTGATGGCCCATGAGGGCCCCGAGAGATGCCCAAGGGAGCTCGGATGCGGCCGCAAAAGCGCTCAAGAGTGCGGTTCGGCTGTCCCCATCTTTGATCCCGCACTTCCCTGATCACCTCAACTCGTGTGGACATCGTTTCTGGATGGGCCGATGGGGGGTGCGCGAAGCGCTTAGACTTTATACTGTGACCGTCGAAGCGATGGCGAGCGGCGCGCCGACTACCCCGCTGCGTCTTCGTTTATGCAGCGGCAGGTGACGCTGGCGGGCACCTGCAGATGTCCTGCCAACGCGCCGTATACGGCGCGCTGGCAGGACATCTGCCGCGTGGGCAGACGGGCATCGGCGGCGGGGGAAGAGGCGGAGGAGGGTGATGATACCACAACTCGCCAAATGCAAACCAATGCAATCCGACGCCGAATCGAAGGCACGATTTTGTTTTTTCGGGAAATCGCTTTCGGGGCCCTTGGATTCGAGATCGAATGTTTTTCGAATTTGTCGGCCGACCCCCATCAGGCGCGTCGTGGTTATAACACAGTGTGCAGTGGTCGCGCGGACGTGCGCGCATGGCAGTGCGCGTGCAAATTGCTGTTGCACAAAATTCAACGCCCCGACTTCGATTGGAATCAAATGTGGCACGCCTCATGTGTGAATATTTCAGCGTTCGATTTGTTGGGTTTGTGTGACTGAAATTCCGCACGCGGGGCTTGTAAATCACGCCTGCGGGGCTTTGCTAACCTGATTAGCGCTACTTCGTAAATGGCATATAACTTGAAATAACTGCTTCCGCTAATCGCGCTAATCGATTACGGTGGTTACAATAACCTGGTTATAACTCCATCCAACCATGAGCTCGCAATTATTGCAATTGCGTAAGTGCCATAACGGATAACATTGGATTTATCTCAATTGTTGTGAATAGGCGAAGTTAGGGTCAAGTTGCACCTCGCTTATAACATGGTTGCGCATACATATAAATCCGACAATCGATTACTAAACGCCGCATCCATTCCAGTGGAGGGCCGCGGGGACGGACAGGGCCGAGACGGATGTGGAGGCCGACGAGGTTTGGGACATGGACTGGGCCGGGCTCGGCGCCGCGGGCCCCGACGGGGGCCCCGCTCCCAGCGCCGACGCCGCCACCGTCGTCGACCCCGTCGTCACCGCCTGCGCCAACATCAGCGCCTCCTACGACGCCAGCGCCGACGCCCCCAACGTCCCCGCCTACACCGACATCAACGCCGGCGACGGCGCCAGCGCCGACGCCGACGCCCGCGCCGCCGCTCCCAGCGTCACCGCCGATGTCGGCATCAACGCCCTCGGGTCCAGGGCTCGCGCGGGCGCCGTCGCCTACTCGGCTGCCAGCGCAGGCGCCAGCCCCGGCGCTATCGCCCACGCCGAGGTCTGGGCCAGCGAGGTTTGGGCCATGGGTTGGTCCAGGCTTGGCACCGGTTTTTCCGTCGTGGGATCCGGCACCGGTGCCGACGCCAGCGTTAAGGTCGGCCCCAGCATCCCGGCCTGCGCCAACATCAGCACCAACACCGACGCCCGCGCCGAAGCCAGCGCCTCCGATGCCGCTGCAAGCGCTGTCGGCGACGCCGCCTACGCCGAAATCAACGTCAGCCCCGATCGCAGCGCCGGCGCCGACGCCGCCGCGAGAGCCGGCGTCAGCATCGATACCGGCGCGGGGGCTGGGTTTAACGCCGGCGCCGACAGAGATCTCAGCACGGGCATCGGCCGCGCAGCAAGTGCGGGCGTTCTTGCGCGCACGCGCTGCCAGTTCCATTTTCGGTCACGCTTAGCGCGCGACGCGAGATTGGCGCCCTTCGCGGGCGTGGCTGCGCGCCGGCGGGCCGGCGCCGCGCGGCTGGGTCGCGTTTGCCCCCTGCCTGAGCGAGGCCGGGGAGGCCAGCTCAGGCGCGCGCCGCACGTTGCCGGCGGGGCTGGCCCAGCCTGGGCGTCGCGGCGGCCCTCGCCGCCACCGCTGCATGCCGCTCCGCGCCTGCCCAGTTGCGGGGACTGCCGCGAGGGCGACCCCGCCTCCGCCACCGCCGACGTCGACGCCGACGGCGCCGCCTATGCCGACAGCGACGCCAGCGCCGACGCTGACGCAGGCGCCTGCGCCGACGCCGAGACCAGTGCAGAGACCAGCACCGACACCGACGTCGGCACGACCGTCTACACTGACGGCGCCCGCACCGCCGACAACGCCCGCGCTGGCACTGGCGCCCGCGCCTCCGCCAGCGCCACCGCCTGTCCCGGCGCCAGCGACGGCGCCCCCGACGCCGACGGCGCGACCGTGGGCGTAGTCGCACACCGAGGCACGCACCACGAGGCGGGCGTCGCTCGGTGCAGCTTCGTGGCTGCCCGTGCCGCCCAGCTGGCGCTGGTCATGCCGGCGGGGCTTAGCCGCGAGGGTACGAGCCTGAGGGGCGACGTTCCAGCGGCTGGGTTACCGGTGGCGGAGGACCTCACCGTTCGCATACCCTCGGGTCACGTGGAGGATTGCGCGCACGCCCTGGCGAGGCGTGGAGCCGGGCCCTCTGTCCAGGGCACGCAGGTGCTCGGCGGCACGCGGGTGCCGACAGGCACGCTGACGCCCATCAGCGCGCTCGCATTCCGAAGCGCGCCTGGGCTTAGCAGCACGCCGGTATTCGAGAGCGTGCCCCAGCCCAACTTCGAGGGCATGGCCAGGCTCAACGGCAGACCCCATGGACTGTGATGTGATTGGATCGGCCGGGGGGCACCCCCTACCACGTCCTTTTCGGGACCATCGGCGGACCCGAAGGAGGAGGCGTGCCGGGGTGGCTCAAAAGCGACCCGATGCGCGCCAAGACTCGGCATCGGGAGGCGACGGCGGGCGGGCAGCGGCTGCAATGGCACCTACAGCGGCGCCTCGACCCGATGCGCGCCAAGACTCGGCATCGGGAGGCGACGGCGGGCGGGCAGCGGCTGTAATGGCACCTACAGCGGCGCCTACCGCGGCGCCGACGGCCGCGCTGGCTACGGGCGCGTCGACGGCTTCACCGACAGCGGCGCCGGCCGCATCGACGGCTTCACCTACAGCGGCGGCGACGGCGCCAGTCGCGCCAACCGCGGCACTGACGGCTGCGCCGATAACATCACCGACAATGGGGGCGGCCGCGCCGAGGACATCACCGACTGCGGCGCCGCCGGAACCAACAGCCGCACCAGCCGTTGCGCCGCCAGCGGCGTCGAGGGCGGCACTGATCGGCGCCCCGACAGCCGCGCCCACGGCAGCGCCGACGGCGGCGCCCTTTGCCGTTCCGACAATTGCGGCACCGATAGCTTCGCCGACAGCAGCCCCAACAGCCTCGGCAGCGTCGACGGCGGTACTGACTGCCGCTCCGACAGCTGCGGCCCCAACAGCCACTCAGGCGGCACCGGCTGCCGCTCCGACGGCTGCGGGGCCCATTGCCGCACCGGCCGTTGCGCCGTCAGCGGCGTCGAGGGCGGCACCGATTGGCGCCCCGACCGCGGCGCCGACAGCACCGCAGGCAGCGGCGCCGACGGTTTCACCGAGAGCGGCGCCGACGGCCCCAATAGTCGCTCCGACAGCTGCGTCGTCGGCGGCGTCGGCGGCAGCACCCGCCGCCGCTCCGACAACGGCGGCCCCGACGGCCCCGCTGGCGGCTGGGCCGGCGGCGGCGCCGACTGCCGTCCCGACGGCTGCGGCACTGACAGCCTGGCCGACGGCTGCGCCGCTAGCCCTGGCGGCGTCGACGGCAGCACCTACTGCCGTTCCGGCGGCTGCGGCCCCGACAGCCACGCTGGCGGCTGCGCCTCCAGTTGTGTCGGCTGCCACCCCGACTGCGGCGTCGACGGCTTCGCCGACAGCTGCGCTGCCGCCGGCCGCATCGACGGCCCCGCCGACGGCTGCGCCGACGGCGGCGCCGACAGCCGCCCCGCCCGCGGCGCTTGCGGCCACACCTGCAGGGGCGCCGGCGGCATCACCGACAGCAGCGCCGACGGCGCCGACAGCATCGACGATAGCATCGACGACAGCTGCGCCAACGCCCGCACCTGCAGCTTCGCCGGCGGCCCCGCTAACTGCAGCACCGACACCCGCGCCGTCTGTGGCACCGTCAGCCTCGCCGACAGCTGCGCCGACTGCATCACCGACAGCTGCGCCGACACCCGTGCCCACGGCTTCACCGTCAGTGACGCTGTCAGTTACATCACCCAGGGCACCGACCCCGCTTCCGAGGACGTGGCGCACGCGTGCGCCCTGGTGCCCAGCATCGCGCCGACGCGGGGCGGGAAGCCCACCGCGGCGGTCCCGCCCAGCGCGGCGCGACACCCCCCCGTCGGCCTCGACAACGGCGGCGCCAACCGCGGCGTCGACGGCGGCATCGACCGCGGCACTGGCCTTGCCCTCGATGTCTTGGTGAGGACCCCAAGCGTGCCCGGCGTGGTCCCCGAGGCCGTAGCGGCCAGCATCTTCGCCATCATCGACGGCGGCGCTGACACCGGTACCCGCTCTGGCACGCACGTCGACGCGAAGGCCTTGCT